CGGCCGCGGTGGGGCGGGGCGGGGCGAGCGCGCGGCCGCTGAGGGTCGGGTCCCAGACGAGAGTGAAGCCGACCCTCGGGAACCTGGACCTGCGCCCACAACAGCCCAAGTCCAGGGCAGACCCAGGGTCTGGTCGCCTCTGGTTTCACCACTGGGCCGTTATTCAACTTGAGTTTGACATTTTTAGGTAATAGAGCATAGAAAAGCAGAAAAGAACAAGTTATAAGACATCTCGGCAGAGATTCGGGCAAACACTCCTATGTTTTGAGTGATGAGAAGACAATGTCAAGAAGTAACAGTTACACATTGAGTGCATTATTGTATATGTGTATATATATACATATATGTGCATGCATATATATTCACACCCACGTGAGTGCATTTATCTATACTCAAAAATGCATCTAATATACAAAGATGCATATATTTTATATGTATCCATTTATGTAAAATAATACAAATGAAAGCACAGGTTTCTGTACCCAGATACACGCATGTAAAATGGATGGCTCCTGGGTAGTTTGTATGTGTGTGTCTCCATGTGAGGTGACAATGGCAGTCGATTCTTTCTATGGAAGCAATCACTTCACTACTCGCGACATTTATCTCGACTCGCACCTCTACCCACAGAGGCAGGCAAGAAAACAATTCCGGTTTGAGAACTTAGAATTTTCTGCCTGGCCCCATTCCACCAGATCTCCAGAAGCAAGGCTCTGGCTGTGGCCAAGCCACTTTCCTTCCTCGGCTGGAATCTCCCCAAAGCTGCTGAGCCGGGGTTCTTTTGGAACTCTTCCCACTTCTCCCAGAAGTCTCCATGCTTCCCGCCACCTGGTTGCCCACATGACCCCCAAAGCCAAGGGCAGAATATTTCTGTAGAAGACCGGATTGGTAACATCGGCTTTTGAACCACATCTTTCAAGTTTGTGAAGCTGAGACAGAGAAAAACCAGAAGCAGGGGCGTTAGTAATCTATTATCCATGTGTATTAGCTTTTCATTTGGGGAGCTGAAATAACTCAGGGTTCCACTCACCTAAATCGGATTAGCAACCCACAGAGGGAAATGAGGCCCTGGCTGCTTCTAGAACTGTAAAGGTCAAATAAGGTATTTTGAAGGAAGACTGTCCACTAAGAAAATTAAAGGAAGGCAAAGATTCGGGAGTCTGCTACTGTATTGCTTTTTAAAAGGTGTTATAAAAGTTGTCACTCTGAATCATGAGACACCAAACAAGTGAGCAATAAAACACACTACTCAGACACCTCAGTCAAGAGTGCCCGGTCTCTTCTGCGACCGTTTCCTTCCCTACCAAGTTTAATTGAGAAGTTAACAATTGCTTCTGTCATCAGGGAGGCGGGAGAAGCAAACCAAAACCCCAGACCTATGTGAGATTTGAATCAGAATGTTGCCTTCAGTGAGGAAGAGAAAGCTGACAGCTGTTGGACCCACCCCAAGTCGAGATGAAAATGAAACCGCTGCTGATGACATCAACAATGCCTTGCAGCTTTGGGCCTTCAGAATTCCACAAGTGGGGGGTTGGCTGTTTCTGATCCCCGTAGAAATCAAGACCTGAGAGAAAACGGATGCTTCCGGACAGTTACTCCACCTTGGTGGGGCCGGGTGGGTTTTCTTCTTTGGTAGGGCATGCAACCCCTGACTTGCTGCCTAAAGCCTTTCCCCGACACTTTCCTCAAGTTTGGCCCAATTTCTCTGAAGAGCAGGACTTTGTTTTTTAGAGCTGGCTGCCCTCTTGTGGTAGAAATGAGTGCCCACACTTGGGAGGAAGCAGTGAATGCAGTTTGAAGAAATTCTTCTCTGAAGGATTTGGACTCCAAAGTGGATGATAGCGTTCAGTCCGTTTTCCCTGAGGAAGAAATAGTAGAGAAGAAACATATACAGATATTTATTGCTTTTTTTTAGCATTTTACTGATGGCCACCTTCCATCCACAGCTAAGGATGTGAGGTTACTTAATACTCCAAGGGGACAGTATCCACTTTTTTCTGAGAATATTCAGTACTCCTGACCTGGCTTGATCTTGCTATTCACAACATTTCTCTCAGACCCTGTCATTTCAGAAAGTGGGACTAACTCAAGTTTATCATATTTAGTGTACCTGTCAGCAAATGTGTAAAGGAGTCAGAGGAGACAGGAAGTGTTGGGGGCACAATCTGGTGAGAATTACAGTTCCAAATTCTTCAGAAGGGACAGACAAGTTGTACCAAAACACAGACTACTGGCAAGGATTCTACATAAAAGAGGCTGCTGCTATTCTATTCTAGTCAGTTCTTGCCAGTTTTTCAAGAGATACCGGAAATCCTCATTTGATTGTGTGTGGACATGACCTGGGATGAAATTAAGTACTTAAAGAGTCATACTCTGGCAACTTTTCCTTTAGCAGTTCAGCCCAGATAATGTTTAATTTTATTGCATCCTGCAGCTATTAGCACTCAACATTGTTCCTGCTAGGGCCGACCATTATGCAAATTAACATTAAAATAATGATCCTCATGTATTGTAAAGGTCACAGCAGGTGTGACATGATCCATCTACCTTGTAATTGTCATTCCATTGGAACCCGTGGCAACTCCCCTGAGAAACCTCTTAGCCTGTGTATCATTTGTTACTGTGTGACACCCAACCCAGGCCTAAAATTCTTTCCTAGGAACCAGAAGTCACAGCCAAGAGTAGCATTTGCTCTACCAAGGGCTTACCTAGTCAATGTTTGATTAGACACAGTAGGAATTATGGGTGGAGTGATTTGTATGCCAAACTAGGCCAGGTTGGCCAAGTCACATTGTTTTGGACAGCCATCAAATCTTATTTAATTACCATATAGCAATATACTTGCATTTGTGACCAATGATATTAAAATGTTCTGCTATTGTCTTAGAGTGTGGAGAGGGAGGGTTTGGAGGAAATAAAGGAAAGAGGAAAATGGTGTAGCTGTCATCTCAAAAAAATAAAAGAAGTCATTGTTTACAAGGGACTCAACCACAGCACTGATGCGTTTATGGGTTAGCTACCAAGCGAAAGCTCTTGCCCAAAGCTTCCCTGTCGAAGGGCTCCCACAACGCAAGCGTTCATAGATGTGCTTTGGGGGATGTGACGGGACCAAAAGGCCTTTGACTTTGTCAGAGGGTTTATCAATTGACAAATTCCAGTTTGCACAGCTTTATTGAGAGGTGATAGAAGTGTCAGGGTGTGGGGACTGGTTGAGGGAAAGACACTGGAGACAGACTTTCAAGTTCCTTCCCGAGTTCTTGCTGGTTGCTCCTTCCTGGGTTTTTCTCCTGCTGCCCCTCCCCGAGTTCCTTCCTGCTGCTCTTTTTGCTTCCTAGTCACCGTGATGTAAGTGGCCTTCTCTTCCATATGTGTTTCCCGCCATGCTCTTCTTCAGTTCAGGTCTAGAAAACAATGGAGCCCTGAACCAGAGACGGAAATTTCTGAAAACCAGAGTCCAAATAAATATTTCCTTTTTCCGAACTGTTTTAGGTATTTGTTTCAGCACTAAAAGCAAAGGCAAAAACAAGGCAACAACAACCTGACTAATACACGCTCAGTCTATTTAATCTTTACTGAAGTACTGTGAAGCTCATAACACCACATGTTGTTGGACCCAGTGCATAAAGGACATGTAGCCTCTGTACATAATTTATCGAGAAGTCAGGGGAAGAAGTATGATATGTCCAGAGGTTAAAACAAAACAAAACAAAACAGCAACAACAACCACAAACATAAGATGTATAATGCGGGCACTTTAAGAGCAAACAGTCACTGAAGGACTAATGAAAAGCACCCTTCCTTTTACAATGTGGACTCAATAAGTTCTTAGTAAAGAAAGGATTGTGGTTTGGGTGTGAAACGTCTCATGGACTCTCTCCAACTTGAGCCCTTGGTCCCCATCTGGTGGCGCTATTCCAGAAGGCTATATTATACGAACACAGAAGGTAGAGCTAATAGGTCACTGGGGCAGTGGGCTTTATGTCCGAGGTTTTATACCCAGATTCCCATCGGCTCTGTGCCTCCTGCTCTGCTGAGTGTGCTCTCGCCTCCGTTAGTTCTCTACCAGCACGCTATCTCCACTGAGATGGACAGTTTCTCTTCTGTTTGAATACCCCAAACTGACCCTTAAGTTGATTCTTGTCAGGGGTTTTAGTCACAGCAATAAGAAAAGTAACCAATAGCAGCAGCCTTTCAGGGTGTACTCAGGTGAATACAATAGCCGGGAGAGCATTCAGTAGGTGAATTCACAAACACCCGCAGTGGAAATTTCATAGGAACTATTCATTGCTACATTTCTTCCTTCCTTCTCTCCCTCCCTCCCCTCCTCCCTCCCTCCCTCCCTTCCTTCCTTCCTCCTCTTCCTCCTTCTCTCCTCCTCCTCTTCCTTCTCCTCCTCCTCCTCCTCCTTCTTCTTCTCTCTCTCTCTTTCTTTTTTTTTTTTTTTTTTTTTTTTTTTTTTTTTTTTTTTTTTTTTTTAGACAGGGGTTCTCTGTATAGTCCTGGCCATGCTGAAACTCACTCTGTAGACCAGGTTAATCCACCTGCCTCTGCCTCCCAAGTGCTGGAATTAAAGGCATGCACCACCACTGCCGACAAAT